TTCGTCTGAAAGTGATTTAGGGCAACTAATTTAATGATTGGAACATTTCGGAGCTTTTTCCAGGGCACCGAAACTCTTAACATGCTTTATGAATTTGGTTGCACTCGGCTGACTGTTCCCAGCTGTTGAGGAGCCTTTCCCAGCTCCCTCTGCGGTCCCACAGCCGGACCTCACAGACAGGGGCTTTAAGTTGATGTTTAGTGACTGGTCTTAGAACGAGGCTTTCTCTGATTGTGGTAAAATACCAGAGATAAGGATGGCCCGAGATGAGCAAACGTCACAATAAATATGGACTGGTTATTTTTAGATTATCTTTGGACACACCTAAAAATAAATAATTTTGAATAACTTATTATTTAGAAGAATCCTTGACCTAGAATCTGGGTACATCCAAAATTACACAGAAAGATCATATAGGGTAGGGCTATAAAGAAAATGGAGAGGGAAGACTAAAAGCAAAAGCTGTTGCCATTGTTTCTCATGGATAAGAAAGTAATAACTGGTCATTTGTGGGCTACACTGTGGAAATCCGGAGACCTTTCTTAGCCGACTGGGGGCAAATACCCTGCCCACTGAGACAGCTTTTGGGGAAGGCCCCCATTGACAGCAGACATTACTCCTGCTACAATACACTTCCTCATTTTCTTTCCTCTCTCCTTTTCTGACCCTGAGGATTTTGCCATGCTTCCTTTCTGTTCTAAATATTATTTAATGAAGGGGGAAATCCTACGAGTGCTACTAATATTAAGCGGTTTTGAGGAGATGAACATATGTCAAAAAGAAAACCATTCAGGGCAGAGTTCCAGAAAACTCATACCTAAATGGTTTAATCCCTAGCTCTGTCAAATGACCTTGTCTTGGCCAAATTGTAGCAATTAATATTCCCTCCAAACTCTGGAACAGCTAGAAGCTTCTAAAAAGTGGTGAGCCTTTGTTAGGGGCATTGAATTGTTAAAGTAGAGGTGAAAGTTATTTTGGGCTCATTCTTTTTGTTCCTGTCCAATCGGGTCTAATTTGGGATAAGGAAAAGATGCTGACGTTAAAACACAAATGAGTTAAAATTCCTTCTCTTGTTGTCTTTGGCAAGAATGACAGGTTTTGGGTTCTATGGTGTTTTAACCAGTTTTCCATTGATGTAACAAAATAACTGAGGAAATCAGCTTAAAAGGAGGAGAGGTTTATTTCGGCTTATCTGAGGTGCTGTCCTGTTGTCCATTGGCTCTGATGTTCAGGTGTTTATGGTGGAACAAAGAACAAAGTTCCTCACCGTAGAGTGACCAGGAACTGTTGAAATGGGAGGAGGAAACAAAGTTCCCAATATCTCCTTCAAGGGCACACGTTTAATTTCTTTCCATCAGGCCCAACTTCCTAAAGGTTGGTTCTGCGACCTCCCAATAGTGCCACAGGCTGTAGACCCATTTCCAACTTACGATCTTTGGGAACACTTCAGATTCAAACTTTGCATAGCAAATGACTGACCAACTGACAACTTTGCATTCAAGTGAAGAGGAGCTATCTGCAGCACTCAAAAGGGCAAAGAATGGAGCTTCTGTGAGGTCTTGGGAGCCTCCAGCTTCATTCAGTGTTTACCAGGCAGTGGTTGTATTATAGACCCTTCCAGAGAGTCCAGGGAAAACTCACAAAGATAATGACTCATGACCTCCAACCCTCAGGATCTCAGAATGTGTGCTTGATGGGGTGAGGCAGGGCAGGCAAGACAGGGACAAGCAGTGGCGGAGAGACCGGATGAGCTAGAAAATGTTTCTCCAGCTAATTAAGGGGAATGACTGTCTGCTGAGCATGTACCAGGGCATGCACAAATGACAAATCTTGCCTTTTTCTTACCTTCAAAATCTATGATATGGAAACCACAGTAACAGAAGCACATTCCTATGTTAAAATGGAATTTTCCAAAAGGGACTAACACAATAGACTGTAATTGCTGAGGTCCGTCAATACTTCTAAACCCTTGAATGAATCCCAAAATACAGCCACATGAGTCTTTCTGGACACAGGGACTTTCTTTGTCATGTGATGTAAGAGTGAAGAGACCATCCATAACCCTGTTTCCAGAACATTCTCCTTCCTGGGCCAAGGACCTCAAGCAAGTTCAATTTATTGATCCCTCAAGGGAGTCCCCCAAGCTACACTGGGAGGAGCCAAACAATCCTTTATGACCTTAGCCTTGTGCTCCCATAAAAGAAAAGAGAGGACCCAAGGTGACCATGGAAGCCAGGCTGGATCCAAATAACGGAGAAGCCTCCAACCCGCCAGGAACAGAAAACCACTCTTTATCCCCCTCCATGGGCTGTTTTTTTTCTCCTCAGCCACTGGTTTTCCCTCTCTTATTTTGGAAGGTGCCCACTGTGTTCAGATGCTTACAGGTGTAAAGCATCCTGATGGCTGAGCAAACATAAATTTTTCAGATTGTCTGGTACATTGTTTCCTGTGCCATATGTACACCTCGACTCTATAATTAGACTCGCTGTGTGTGTGTGTTTATGTGTGTTCATGTGTTTACTCCACATGCATGTGGAGGTCAGAGAACGACTTCAGATGTTGTTCTTCAAGCACCTTCCACCTTGTTCCCATGAGACAGGGTCTCTCGATGGCCTGGACATCACCGGTTAGGCTAATCTGGCTGCCTGGCTGTTTTCACCTCCACGGTGGTGGGATTCTAAGTACACAGCCATGCCCAGTTTCTTCTGTGAGTTCTGGGGATCAAACCCCCAGGTCCTCATGCTAGCATGACAAACACATTACATTATAGACAGCCCTGTCATCAAATAAACTAAGCCCATTGTTAATTTACAGTAGAGCTCCTTGTATATCCCGGGCACCATAGTGCCTGCTCAGAGATGACAGTCAGCAAAACCCCTGACCCGAGACGCAAACTAATATAAGATGTAATTAGATGGTGTAAAATGCCATAGGAAAGAAATTCACAAACCGCCATGCTAGGAAATGACAGGAAGAATGTCTCTGAGGAGGCAACCTTTAAACTGAGTTCTAAATGGGAAAACAACTGCATGAGGGATAAAGGGTAGGAGAATGTTCCAGGCAGAGAATAGAAATGGAAAGAGTATGACTTCAGCAGAAGCAGAAGATGGGCAGAGGGACCCAAGATTGGTTAGCAACAGTGTGGAGGCAAGAGATGAAAGAGAGGATCAGAGCAAGCAGGCCAGCAAAAGGACCCAGTACTATATTTCTTGGTGTTCAGCCAGGACTTCAGCAGTCCTCCTAAGTACCCAGCACAGAGCTTTGCTTGAGTGGACTGGGCAGTGGGAATGACTCACAGGTCACAGTCATGGGCTAGGACATCCGGAACCTTCCTGCCCATCATTTGCTCCCAGCATGACTTTAGATGAGCTAAGAGACTCTCCAGGCTATGTTGGCTGCAACCAGCCCTCACTCAGCCTTCCCTTAGGAAACGGAGAGTTCAGTGGACAAGAATGGTTTGGGTGAGCAGGACTTGTCACTACATCCCTTCCAAAAGGTGGGCCAGCAGCACGGAGCATGTCTGAAACCCGAGAGCCACACTGCCCCTTTATTCTTGCCTCAAGCTTATGCACTTCGCGGAAATCATTTAACCCACAAATTCGTCACCCTGTCTGAATGCTCCACAAGGCTATCAGAGATCTTGCAGAAGGGATAACCTTAGCCAGGGAGGCCCATCCTGACCCATGCCTGACCTAGCTACCCCAACACCCTTTCCTGATTCTCAGCATGCCCCATAAACCAAGGCCATGGCCACCTTTGGCTGTGCGTAAGCAGAGGCCCCAGGAAATTCTGCCTTTGGGATCTACTCTTGGCCAAGTGCCTGAGAGGCAGTATTGGTTTATGCTACCAAAAATACAGCCGTTTCTTCTCAGCCCTGTGCTTAATTTAAGAGTAACTACAAAGGCAGGGCAAACAGGTGCTATTTTTGTCCCCCACCTCCTCTATACATATCCCCTTCTCTTCCGCATGGAGATCTGGACTACAGCCATCCACACCAGCCCAGCTGCTCCAGCGGCAAACATGAAAATGTTCTCCCACATCAGATGAGCACCAGCCGCAGGAGCCTACCTTCCTGTGACTTTCCTGTCCCCCTGTCCTCTCAGCTGGCACTCCTAGCGTGACAAAAGGGCTTTACCTTTCAAGACAGACATCCCCTGGAACCTGAACCACAATTTGCATTTTAGCCATCACCATTAAGTCCTTCCCCCCTGGAGTCTCCTCAAAAGTTATGCTCCTGGCCTTAGGAGCCCAGATAGCTTATAAATGACTGACACATAGCAGGTCCTCAGCAAGCCAGTTAGAAATATTAAACGGAGCTACACTGTGCTTGGTGAGAAAACCCAAACATGGAGAAATCAATAAAACAGGAAGAAATGATATGATAAAGCTATCCTTTTTAAACCACTGTCAAGAAGATGAGACAGCCATTTCTCCAAGTACATGCACAGAGAGTCATGTTTGAGCATTCCTTCCCTTCAAGAGGGACGTGGTCACTGGGTTGCTCGGCCCTGACCTACCAGGGGACAGCAAGAGCGAGAGAGGAGAACCAGAACCTCTTCAGCTTCGCCGTGGGGTTCACGGGTTTGGAGGTAGCAGCATGATTCAGGCTACTTTTGGCTGGAGGGTCTCTTAGATGAAGGGATGGCTTTCCTAGTCACAGTGCCTCTGCCTTCCCTGAGTCCCAAGCACATCTGTGGGAAGGCCACACGGACCTGTCAGGGTTCCATGTGTCTGGACGCTGAGGTGGCAGTGACTTAAAAGTTTGTAGACACACCCTACTCTTGCACTAACTCTATGTGGCAGACAATTGCGAAAAACAACAAATGACTGTTACTTTCTAGACATACCCCCCCACATACACACAGGCACACACACACAGGCACACACACACATACACACACACAGGCACACACACAGGCACACACACACAGGCACACATACACACACACACACAGGCACACACACACACAAATGCAATATATCAGAGATCAGAAACAGAAACAACTGAAACCATCATTTATTTCTGATTTTCCTCACAACGTCGTTGCTTTCTTGTTTCCCCAACATGATAAATATATAACAAAACTTCAGTATACAAATAAAACGTGTGCGTCATGTATGAAAGCATGTACTAGTAAACCCAGTCAGTCCTGTGCCCAGGTTTTTGAAGTAGATCGTTCTCGAAATAGAGCAAGATCTCCAGGGCCTGCGCCATTACCAAGAGGGAGGATCTCCATTAAAGATGGTTAGTAACGCAGAAAAGCTTTTCATACTGAGGAACAAGGCTGCCCACTCTCCGCCCCTCCCCCTCCCCCTCCCAGACTTCACTTTGTTCTTTTTGCATGACACATTCTAAACTCAATGTATAATACTAAAAGATGAAGGGACACGGGATGGAACAGAAAAGGGACAAATGGAATCTAGGAAGTTGGTGAGAGAGAACAGATATGTCTCTGAAGCAATAAGGTACAGGCTCATCTTTCCCAGAAGGTAAAGTTTAGGTTGTGTAACTTTTGTGAAGGAGGAAAATGTCATGGGGACATGGAAAATAACTCTAATGTCTACAGAACATAAAATATCTAGGTGTTACAAAATATTTCAGGACAAGAGGGGCATGCTATCAAAGAAATTATAGCTCACTTTTTGGATGAGATTATGAGATTAAACAGCTGGGGCCCTGATATAGCACATGATACATAAACTCTACCAATTATAGTTCACATTTAGAGTGACATTAAGCAGCTGAGGCACTGATATAGCACTTGTGGCTAAACTTGACCGTTTCTTTTCAAATTCAGCTTCTCAGAGGTCTAGCTTCAGGGGACTGGGGATTTTCAGCTTTATCTTTCCTCATGCGGATGAATACAACGGCCAAAACTATACCTGAAAAGAGAAAACTCGGGGTCAAACAAGTACGGCCATTAGATGTCCTAACCGTGTCACTTGCTGGATCAGGGTTAGATGTCCTAGCCCACTCACTTGCTGGGTAGGCGTGGGGAATGACCTGTGGACTTCCATTTGTGTGATTAACAGATCGCTTGCTGTTAGTATTAGGATGGCCCAAATTATAAGTGGTCTGGGAGCTGGCAGGATCTTGGGAATAGAGGAGCCAGCGTCCCAACTCCTCTGAGGGAAAAGCATGTGGAAGAGTGTCTGAGCCATTTGGACATACCCAGCTATTGATGTAGTTTTTCTTCCCAAGACAAAGGAGCCCACTCAGAACCAAGGAGCTGTTCAGACCTGCCTACCTACCTGAACCTACCACATCCATTCACTGAACCTACCACATCCATCATTTATGATCTAAAAATCAGTTCTAAAACAATCAGTTTCTTGGTAAGCTCAGTGGTAGAACATTGTCCCATACAGAGTTGGGACTACCCTGCAGGGCCAGCCTCCCGGGGGATCTTGAGTGAACTGCCTACGCCTTCTGGTTTCTCCTACTTCTCTGAACCCGTACAAGATTACATGGCTCTTTTCAGCATTAATCAGAACTCTATCAGAGCCCACTAAGAAAGGGGAAGTTAAATTAAGGAAATTGCTGATCAGTAAGCTTACAGAAGCGCCATGGCTGAGAAGACTAGATGCTCAGACAGTTGCTAGCAATCTTGTTATAATTCACACACCCCCATTTTAAAAGAATAAGGAAATGAACCAAAAGGGCCCCGTTAATTCTCTCTGTGTGTATCCTCAAAACCATCCATCCTTTACCTGAGAGCAGGATCATGGGAATAAGACTGTGTGAGAAAATTGCAGTTTGTTGCATGAACTCAATCCTTTCAAGGTGAGTAGGAAAAAACAAAACAAAACAATAAAAGGCATAAAGGCAAGGGGGGGTTAGTAAATAATAGCTCAAAAATCTAGCTCCGAGGCCGACGCAGGGAGATGGCCTGAGTTCAAGGCCAGTCTGGACTGCAAAGCGAGTCTCTTTCAAAAGAAGGGAGACGCTTCTCTGTTGGTACAAAATGTGTGCGGCAGACAGGGGTTCTCACGGAGGCTGGCTGGTCTCCGTGAAGGACAGAGTAAGGAGCAGCCAGGTTGCTGTGGTTCTCCCATATCATCCATGCCATAAGGCGTTGGAGAGCCTTAAGTCCTTTCAGAGCCCTGTGTCAGAGTCCAATAGAACAGCTTGAGACATGAGAATAAATGTCTAGATAGAAAAAGAATAGTCCAGAAGACTTTACAGGAAGGAGGGGACAGGCGTTATTGCAGGAGACAGCATGAGACTGTGTTAAGCCATTCAGTCATGGGCACACGGATATTAAAATGTCTTTCTAATTATCTGCCATGAGGACAGCTATTGAGAAAGCACAACTATCTTAGGCTCTATTTATTTGGGGAGATGGGAGAAGCTACAAGAGAGGACTTCTCTCCAGCTAGGTAGAGAGTCAAGGCCATGATGCAGTGAAGTTACTCCACATTATAAAAAACCCAGTGTTCATAGTTATGAAAAAAAACACCTCAAAGTAAAACTCGGCAACATTTCAGGTGTCATCAAATCTTCATTCCAAAGCCCTCTCCTCCCTATTCTGACATAGGCAGAGGAGCCCATGACCTCTCTGAGTAAAGGCTCATGAAGGCCTTGCCCCTCAGGACACCAATCCTAACAAACTCCGCACCTGACACAGCGGGGCACAGGGACTGCACTTCTCTAACCTTCACAAAAGCTTGGCAACTTGGCTCAAAATGAAGCCATTTACGTGTAAAGTTTGGTATGGTTCCGATCTTGAATGTCCTTCAAAGGTCCCCACTCAGCATTACTAGCAGGTGACATCCCCCTAGACATCTTGAAGACACACCCTGAAGGGAACAGTAGTACCCTAGCCCCTTTTTCTCTCATTTGCTTCCAACAGAAGGTGAGGAGCTTCCTCAATAAAGTACTGCCTTCCCATGGACCCCAAAGCAACAGGCCAGTCAGTCCTGAGCCTCTGAAACCTCTGAAGCCATGAGCCAAAAAGAAACCTTTTAAAAAAAAAAAACAAAAAAACAAAAAAAAAAAAACACAAAAAACAGAATTGATTATCTTGGGTATTGTTTACAATAAAGAAAGGCTGACTGATACAAAGAGTGTAAAAGTCTGCATGAAAATCCAAGCCAGGAAATGACAGGTAGTGGGGTACTTCTGACATAGCATCTGTCAACCAGGATGCCTTGATTTAATTGACTGGTGATTTATATTCTTCGTTGGTACCCGAGTCAAGAAACCCCCAAGTACCCCCTACAGTAAGATGACAAGATGAGCTCACATTTCCGAGTCCTCGGCTCGGAGAAGCCATACTCACCAATAACCAGAAAGGTGGTCAGAAGAATACCGACTGCCATGCCCACAGTGGGTATCCCTTCCCGCTTACCCACTGGCCGGAAACAGCTTCCTTCCACACACTGGCAGAAAGTTACTAAAAAGCAGAACAGCATTTGGTAGGATAAGTTGCAGAAATCCCACTTCAAAGACAAGCATCTCTTAAGCTGCCGTGGTAACAGATGCTCCACGTTGCCCGTGCAAAGCGCCTACCTGATAAGGAGACAGTCCCTTCCATGGGTGGCCGGCCCCCATCATTGATGAGGATCAGGATTTCATAAACTCGTTCCTCAAAGCGTGTGTGCTTGGTGGAGAGTCGAGCGTGTGTGCCTGTCAGAACAGGGAGAAAATGAATCACGTGACGATACAACTTCAGAACCCTCACTCAGTAGGAACAAGCTCATTTTTGCATTGCGTATAATCAGGTAGACTGGGAAGTAATCTAATGTAGGTGATACTTTGAGTAATTTAACTTACATTTCCCGTGTCTTTTACCATGAAAAATGGGCTAAAGCCTCCTTTAACTTCTTCTTTACCTTTGTGTGTCACCTTTATCTCCAGAGCTTTTATCATGAAGAGATGCTGGATTTTGTTTATTGTTGTATCTAATGAGGTGATTACTGATTTCTGTTTCAAGTCTCCTTATATGATGCTTATTGATTTACATATGTTAAATCATCCCCAAATCTCTGGAATGGAACTTGCCTTTGGTGTGATCTTGAGTTTGGTTTTCTAAGCATTTTATTGAAAATTTTTTTGTGTCCATGCTCCTCAGAGATACTGACATTTTTTCGTGGGGAGTTGGGTCTTTCAGTGGTTTTTGCATGAAGGTAATATTGACTTCATAGAAAATGAAACATTTCTAATTTCTAAAATTTTCATGGAAGCTGGGTGGTGTTGGCACCCATCTTTAATCTCAGCACTTGGCGGGGGGGAGGGGGGCAAAGGCAGGCAAATCTCTGAGTTCGAGGCCAACCTGGTCTACAGAGTGAATTCCAGGATAGCCAAAGCTACACAGAGAAACCCTGTCTCAGAAAAAAAAAAAAAGTGGAATAACTTGAGTATTGGTTTTGGTTGCAAAGGTTTTGTAGGAATTTGTGTTGAATCTACCTGGCCCTGGGCACTTCTGTTGTTATTGAAAGATTTTTATGTATTGCTTCTATTTTATTTGATGTTAAGGGTCAACTTATTTATTTTGCCTTGATTTAGCTTTTGTAGGACTTATGTTGAAATTCATTACATTCTTTTAGATTCCAGTCTCTTGGAATGGATTATTTTAAGTATGTCCTTGTGATTCTTCTGAATTTCCTAAGTGTCTGTTGTAATGCTTCCTTTGTATACCCTTTTTATTAATTTGGATGCCCTCTTTCTTTTGGCAAATTTGGTAAAAGGTCAATCTTGTTAGCCTTTCATTTTCATGGATTTCAACCCTGACTTTGATTATTCTTGCCTGTCTTTTTAGCTTTTTTTTATTTTTTATGTGTATGGTTGTTTTGCCTGCATTTATGTCGAGGCACCATTCACGCAGTGAACGGAGAGGCCGGGAGAGGGCACTGGATCTCCTGGGACTGGAATTACAAAGTGCTGTGAGCTGCCAGGAGGGTGCTGGGAACAGGACCATTGTTGCTCTAAAAGAGCAGCCAGTGTTCTTGACTGCTGAGTCATCCCCTTAGCCCATCTTCTTCTTTACTTTTTTGGGCACTGGTTTGTTCTTTTCCAAGGTCTTTGAGTACATTGATTTATTTTTCGTTTGGTTAGGTCCCCCCCTTGGGGTATTTTGTTTTGTTTGTTTGTTTGTTTGTTTTTTATAAAATCACTTAATGCTGTAAAATTTCCTCTTAGAACTCCATTTCATTGTGCCCCATAAATTTTGGTATGTAATATTTTCTTTTTCACTCAATTATAGAAAATTTTAAAATTCTTCTTGATTTTTTTTTCTTGACCCTGTTAGCAGTTAGTGGTGTGTTTAGTTTCTGTGAGTTTGTGTACTTCCTCTAGTTTGTATTGTCATTGGTACCCAGCTTTGTTCTACTGTAGTCAGATAGAATGCAGGATGTGATTTCGATTTTCCTATATGTGTTAAGACTTGCTTTGTGCTCCAATATGTGGTTAATTTTGTAGAAAGTTCTGTGGGATGCTGAGAAGAATGTACATTCTTTAGTGTTTGGATGGAACATTCTCTGTTGGGCCCATTTCATTTATGATGACATTTAACTCCAGAGTTAAATGGAGTACCACTCAACTATTAAAAACAAAGACATCATGTAATTTGCAGGCAAATGCATGGAACTAGAAAAGATCATCCTGGGTGATGTAACCCAGACCCAGAAAGAGTATACCCAGTGGTGTATACTCACTTATAAATGGACATTAGCCACAAAGTACAGGATAACCATACTACAGTCCACAGACCCAAAAAAGCCAAGGGGAACTCAAGGGAGGATCCATGAATCTCACTCAAAAGAGTAAATAAAATAGATATCTGAAGTAAGTAAAGGGAGGGAACAGTTGGGAGAAGGAGTGGGGAGAATAGCAGGGGTGAGGACCAGGTGTGGGGAGATTGGGGTGGGAGAAGGACCAGGAGAGAGAACAAAAATCGGTGGGGGAAGGGCATCCCTGGGACAGGAAGGCTCCCAGGAGTCTATGGGGGTGACACTAGCTGAGACTCCTAGCAGCTGGGGATATGGAGCCTCAAGTCTGTATTTCCTTCCCGTAGCCAGGTGGGACTTCCAATAGAGGAAGAAGGACACCAGCCCACCAGTAAACCCTCTACCCAAAACTTGTCTTGCCTACAAGAAGTGTAGAGATAAAGATGGGGAGAAATTAAAGAAGACCACAGTAAGTGAAGACACACACCATGTTCATGAATTAAAGCCCCACGCCACCCTAAGCACCCATACAGACTCAGCAGAATCTAATCCCAACCTCAACAGATTTTCTTTGCTAGAAATAGACAAGTGGCAGGCTGACATTTATACTGAAATGCAAAACAACTAGCATGAATGAAACAACTTTGAAAAAATACTAAGAAAAATCACACCACCCAAGGTCCAGTCTTATTATTCAACTATAGTAATTAAAACAATGTAGTATTGTAAGGGAGGGGGTTTTTCCACATGAATTTTCCTGAAATTTTTAAGATAATGCGTGCTAAAGAGATGTTGTGAATAGATGGTGTTAGAACAATTAGGTAGCCATGGTAAAACAAAGTACCTTGACTGTGGCCACTTACCCTACATAAACATTGACATGAAATGGATCTTGTTTTAGTGACCCTGGCTAGGTGAATTTTCTTTCTTTCTTTTTTGCTTTCCCTCCCTCCACTCTTCCCAGTCCCCTCCTCATCTCCTTCAGATCCACTTCTCCTCCATTTCCCTTCAGAAAAGATCAGGCACATTTGAAGATGACAGATTCAAGAAGAAATCAATAACTCGGAATTTAATAGTTTTACTTGGCTATTTAAAGATATTGCAATAGGAGCTGGAGGGGTGACTCTAGCAGTTAAGAGGGGGCTCTTGCAGAGGACCTGAGTCAGTTCCAAGCACAGCGTATTGGCTCACAACCCTGGCCACTCCATTGTAACTCCACAGCCGTTGCAACTCCAGTTCCAATGGATCGGATGCCCTCACCTGACTGCGCATTCACAAGGCACACATACTTAATAAAAAGTAAATCTTTACAAAAGAGGGGAAGACAGTGTTATAAAAATGCAATTTCCTGATAAAGCACACGATCACACACATACACACACACACACACACACACACACACACACCCCTAGCAATTCAACAACAGAAGCTGAAGGGCCCACGCTTCAAGCAATATCTGATCTGTTTGATCAGATGCTTCTCTCATCTGTGGATGGCAAATCACCACATGAAAAGAGGAGAGACTTAAAACATTAGTCGCTAGGGAAATACCAATAAAGATATAATAGGAGACTGATGTACACCCACCAGAATGGCTAAAAATAACTGTGTGTAGCAAATGCGTTGGGGAGAGCGCTGAGCAGCTGAAGCTCTCATGTGCTGGTGGGAATGTAAAATGCTAAGAACAAATTGGGAAAGAGTTTGACCTTTCCCTAATGAGCTAAGCATTAACCCACCATGTGATGCAGCCACTCAACTCCTTGATGTTCTGCTAAGAAACATGAAAGAGCATGATCCCACCAAACACTGGTCCTCACACGTACTCGCCAACTGCCAGTCAGCAAGAGAGTGGGACACACGGAACACTGCTGCACGGTGGGGGTGGGGAGGACGAAGCTCTGGTACACACAACCAGAACGCACACGCAATTAAGCAGGCCGAGTGGAAGAAGCTGAAAATAGTGAAGTTAGGAGAATAAAGTCAAGTTTGCAGCAACAGAAAGATTGGAGGTTAGCTGAGAAAATGTCACGGGCTTAATGAGGTGGGCAGGGCCAATGAAGAATAAGGTAATAAATAACTTGAGAGTGGCAAAATACTCACTTGATTGTGGCCCAGCTGATATGTGTGTGTGTGTGTGTGTGTGTGTGTGTGTGTGTGTGTGTGTGTGT